CTCTTCAGAATTGTCATGTACACGTGCAACAAATTTAAAGCTTTTTATTTCAGATCTGCTGTAGTTAACTATGGCATGTGGGACCAGCTCAGGGTTGACCATGGCAGGGAATTTTACATGTCCCTATACATGCAAGAGAAGCTATCAAGACACAGACACAACCTCAGCAGACAACCATACCTCCAAACAACTTCGACAAGGGTGAGGTTTTTGAAATGCTGATAACAATGAACAACCAATATTAAAAGATGAAATTAATAATACATACTTGCAAATACTTTCAGTTTTGTGTCCTTGGAAAAAAGAAATGCATTTCAATTGGTAATTGATTTTCCTTTTTGTGGTCAATAGAATCTTAGAGTGGAAAGGATTTGGCCTGAAGTGAACAATCGGGTGAACTACCCATTGAAACAGGCCCTGGTGCACCTGCAAGACCAAGAAGTCATCAACATGGAGGACAATATGACTAAATTCTGCACTTCTAACCTGGCATGCCAATTAAGCCAAATTGGAGTAAATAGAGTAGTACAATCATGGAATGCACACAGGATCCCAGGTGTGCTCTGATAATGTACAGGGCTTTAAAATCTTTTTTCAGAAAAGGCACTTTAAAATCACTGTCCATTCACATTCAGTGCATTGCTTTGATATCTGTTGTTTACCATGCTTCATTGTTTTAGGCCGTGGAATACCCAATGAACTTGCAGCAACTGGATGTCCATCAAAAATTTTGGGTGAGCTGCTGTCCCATGCCCCTGTTGTGGCAAATATGTATGAGCAGGATTTGGGATCATCGCTGACCTTTGGAACGGATCCTTTTTCCTCTGAGGAGGACAGGAGTCATGCAGAGCAGGACTTTGCAGAGAATTATCCAGACATCTCTCTTCTTTTCAATCAAACAGTAAACAGTGAATATAGCCTTTTTCATGATGCATTGCTTCACCTCATAAATGTAACCCAAAGATATGTATGAAAAAGTTATTTTATTATTATTTTTTTT